TATATTTTGGTGCTCCTGTATTGGGTGCATATATGTTCATCAAGGTTATGTCTTCCTGTTAGATAGATCCTTTCAATATTATGTAGTGGCCTTCTTTGTCTTTAGTTATGGCCTCATTTTGAAATCTATTTCGTCAGATATGAGTATTGCTATCCTAGCTTTTTTTGCTTTTCGTTTGCATGGAAGATTTTTTTTTTTTTTTTGGTATATGTGCCCCTAGTGGGAACCAAACCCTCTGGTCCGCAGGCTTATGCTCCAACTGTGAGCCAAACCGGCCAAGGCATGCTTGGAAGATATTTTTTTCCATCCCTTCACTTTCAGCCTATGTGAGTCTTTTGTTGTGAGGTGGGGTCTCTTGTAAACATCATATATATGAGTCATGTTTTCTTATCCAGTCAGCTACTCTGTGTCTTTTTATTGGGAACATTCAAGCCATTTACATTTAAGGTGATTACTGATATGTATGTATGTATTGTCATTTTTGTTTTGTGTGCTTATATTTTTCTTCCTGTTTCTTTTGCTAATTACAGTAGTCCTTTTAACATTACTTGTAGTGCTGGTTTGGTGCTAATGTATTCCCTTAGCCTTTTTTTGTCTGGGAAGCTCTTTATTTGACCTTCTATTTTGAATGATAGCCTTGCTGGGTAGAGTAGTCTTGGATTCATATTCTTGTTTTTCATGACCTTGATTACCTCATGCCATTTCCTTCTGGCCTGTAGTGTTTCTGTTGGGAAGTCAGCTGATAGTCTTATGGGGGTTCCTTTGTAATAACCTGTTGCTTATCTCTTGCTGCTGTTAGGATTCTCTCTTTGTCTTTAATTTTTGGCATTTTAATTACTATGTGTCTTGCTTTGGGCCTGTTTGGGTTCTTCTTACTTGGGGCCTTCTGTGCTTCTTGAACTTGAATGCCTTCTTCCTTCGCCAGATTAGGGAAGTTTTCTGCCACTATTTCTTCAAATATATTATCTAAGCCTTGCACATTTTCTTCTTCTTCTGGGACTCCTGTGATGTGAATGTTATTACATTATTAGTTTCCCACAGTTCTCTTAAGCTGTCTTCTTGTTTGATAAATTGTTTTTTTGTTTTGATTTTCTGATTGGTTGATTTTTTCTTCCCTGTGTTTTAATTCACTCATCCAATCCTCAGCTTCCTCTACTCTGCTGTTTAGACCTTCCAATGTGTTCTTTATTTCTTCTGTGTCATTCTTCATTTCTTCTTAGTGGTTTTTAATTTCCCATTGGTTGATTTTCAACATTTCTATGTCTCTACTCATGGTTTTGATGTCCTTACTCATGCTGTTGAGCTTCCTAAAGATCATGGCTCTGAATTCTAGTTCTGTTAACTTGCTTCACTGCACCTCATTTATCTCATTTTCGGTAGATCTCTTGTTCTTTCATTTGGCATTTGTTTCTTTGTTTCATCAATTTGGCTATCTGAGTGGGTTTTGGAGCCTGTCAAATTTTCCCTTTGGGTGTTGGTGTTCTGCTCTTTGTGGCTCCCTCTGCTCATTTAGATGATTGTGGGAGGATCCCCCTCCCCTATCTTCTTTTTATTATCTGAACCAGCTATTTCCTACAGGAAGTGTAAGTGCAGGAGGAAATTAATAATGGATTAATTAGGAAGACCCACTGATTAGGCTGCTTCTGATGAGAGGCTCTGTGATACAATTAGAGTACAGGCAAGGCAGAAATATCTATTGTACAAGATAAATCACGGTACTTGAGCCCAGTGGAATTGGCACAGAACTGGCCATACTCAGCCAGGTTAACATTCAGTACTTTTTATTAAGATCCCTTTCCTTTAAGAATTACTCTGCTGACTGAATTCTCATCATATAGGACTTAATTATTTTCATTTTTCTAGGCATTATTTAAAATGCAGTTATTTGTGGTTAACCTTGGTGTTGTCTTGTTTCTCTTTCCTCCAATGGTGAGAGGGTACAGCTGCTGAGTCAGCATTGGGCATGTCTGGGAGGTAAATGGCCAAATGATTTGCAGTTTGGCTTCAAGCTGGTCATACATGGAAATGCTTAGTAGGCATATTCACTTTGATATCCAGGCTATCTTTTTAAGGAGTAAGAGACTCCATGGCCACTTGAGCACTTTGTTCTCTTTTGGAATACATCATATGCTTGTACTATTTCTGTGATGATTTGTTTGGCTGTTTATTATATAACATCAATGTAAGAATTTATTTGAAAGATAATAATTTATAGGCAACTAACATGTATTGAGCATTACTATGTTCTTGTAGTTATATTTAATTCTTACAGCTAGGTAAATTAGGTAATCCCTATCTTTCAGGTATGGAAACTGAGGCTTAGAAATATTATTTGATTGGCCAAGGTCTGACTTTGTCAATGTCAGACTGTTGCTCTTTCCACACCTGATTCTTTCCATTACTGTCCTCCAAATGTTTACTAAAGTGAGTCAACTCAAATTGTTTTCAATAGACTGGCTTTGGGCTGAATTTAGAGTCCTTCAGATCTGGATGTGAATCCCGCCTGTATAATGTAGGTCTAATCATTTAACCTCTCTAACCTTGTTGTAGAATGAGGTTAATGATTCCCACACCAAGGGTTTTGTGAAGATAAATGGAGTCTTTGTAAGAAAATGTAGCACAGAGCCAGACCCTTAGTAAGCCTTTAATAAATGGTTGCTGCTGCAAATAGATGGGGTTTTTATTTAATTTAATTTTATATCCAGTAATTGGGTCATCTTTGAATATGATGATGGTATCTTAAAATGCTTTGAGCATATTTTGTTTTCTTAATTTTTAATGTATCAAGTGATTGCTTCTATCTTCAGAATCAGCTTTATTTTTATGGTCTGTGCCTCAGGTGTGTGCAGAATACAGCAGTACTGTCTATTCTTTCTTAAGACTGTGTGTGGGCCTTAGATACAGAGTTCAAATGAGGATGTTTATTTGATATCTTAATACATTTTTAATTTAACATTTCGGGTTCTGTTTTCCTCATGGTTTATATATCACAACTTAATGCAACAAATAATAGAGTCAGCACCTGGTGTCCTGACATCTGTTAGCCTAAAGGATCACCTGACTTTAAGTAGAAGTGGTTTTACGTGTTGCACAAGCAAAGAAAGGAGCCAGTCTGGAGCCAGACTGTGGATCTCTCAGTGTCCTCCAACTGTGGGTGATACATCTATAGTTTTCTAAAATTTTGTGAGGAGTGGATAAGACAGTGTATACATTCTCCCCTGCACATGCCTGGTTCATGATAGGCCCTTTACTGCCATCCATTGATGGGAAGGTACTTATTTACGACACAGATATCCTGAAGTTATAATTTCTTTCCTTCTTGAATAATAGTATCACTTTACCAACTATCTGTTATTGGTAAGTTTGTCCTATTTTAAGTGTTTGATTTCTTAATAATGAATTTAATTATGTATTTATAAAGTAAATCATTGGATTTGTTCTCACCAGTGATACCAAGAAGAAGCAGGTGATGAGGAAAAGAAACAACAGTGAAGTTGAAGACACAGTCCTCACAAGTCGTAACAGAAAGAAGGCCAAGTGGGAAGTCTTAGAGCCGTTGGATACGGGCCTGTCTTTAGCAGAGGATGAAGAGCTGGTGTTACATCTGCTCAAAAGTCAAAGCTAAATACTCCCTGCTTTGTCTTCTCCTTGAAACCTCTGGTCATGGTTATGTGGACAAGAAGTTGAAAAGCAGTGGGCTTTGGGGAACTTAAATAATGAGCCCCAGGCCCAAAGGACCCATCCTCTAGGCAGAAGGGAAAGTATCTCTGAGCCCTTGAGCAGAACATGCTTGTGCCATCCCACACCAAACTCCGTGTGAGGGTGGGCACTATAACCTCTTGACCCCACTTTCCAGCATGTGCTCTGATAGATTGTATCCAGGGTTCTAGCCAATGACATCTTGTCATTGGAAATGCTTTCTTTGTTTTAATAGCAAGTTGTGGAGACCTTGTTTCATTGTTAGGAATTTCTTTCTTGCTTATCTTACAGAAGTGTCTTTGTAATATTAAAATTGCTCATAGTTTTAATTATTTAATATCTTTAAAGAGACAGAATATGATGGGCCAGCCCCAAGAAACACTGAGTATTTTTGAATTGAGATGATCAATAATAAACATATTTCCTATAAAATTGTTGTTTTCATTGTGTCCAGTAATATGAAAGTGCTCTCAAGGGAAGGTTCTTAAGACTAAAATGCTTGGCCAATTCTTGAAACAGTTAATTTCCATATTCTTAAATTATCCTTCTCAAAGATGTCATTTAACTTACACTTGGCAAATTTGTTAGCTGTCGCTTATACAGTCTGTAGAAGCCCTGAATCTAAAACTTGGTGACCTCAAACCTGATCTCAGCATGTACAGCTGGTAGGCCCCCGCCAGGGCCGCCACAGCGTTTCCTCCAGCAATGCAGATGCCTCTGGGGGTCGGGAGAGAGGCTGGCACAAGGAGGTGAGCAGAGCGAAGAAGAGGTGGAGCAAGATGCTGATCGTGGTCTGGGCCCCTGGGCATCAACTCAGACTGCTCCTTGTACTCCCCAGTATTGTTAGGGGTCAGTACTGTTTAAATTTAAAATTTTAATTTCTGTTCTCACAGAGAATGTGGCTCTATCACTTGTACATCATCCACAAACCTTGGGCATGGGCAGTTCCCACCCCATTGGCCGCTGGCTGGTGGGGGTGGGGTGTCACATGCAACCCCAAGGACTGGGGTGTAAATTTCTTTATGGCATAAACTACTTTGAGTTGTATTCTGTCCCTGAAACTGAAAGACTCTTGACTTTAATGTATACATTGTAAGGGATTTTAGTTTGCTGGTTTTGAAAACATCAGAATAGTGTTGCTAGAAAGCTCGGCTAACACATGGTAGATTATACTGTTTAACAAGTATTCTCTGCAGCCCCCTTCATCCCCTTAGGAAGCATATTTTTCCCTTGTCGCTGATGATGGACTTGGGTATGTAAGTTACTTTAGGCTTTGGAATGTGTGCCAGTTTAAGCAGAGGCTTTAAGATGCATTGATGTTTCCATCAGCTCTCTTGCACTTTTGCCTTCCTTCTTGAGACCAGCATGGACCAAGGAGAGGACACTGCTTCAGTATGGGCAAAGGTGAGAACTCGGGAAACACCTGCAGCTACCACAGTCCCCTCTCAAACCTGTGGAGCAAGGAACCTACTGAGACTTGGGGCGTTATCACAGAAAGGCCTGATTAGTACACAAGGTGAGAGCAACACCAAGCAGGGACCAAGAGCATGCATGCATGCATTCATTCATTCATTCCATAAATGTTAATAAACTCGGCAGCTACTGTATTCCAGGCCCTGTACTTGAAAAAATACAAACAGTTCCCTTTCTTGCTAATCTATAGTGGAGGAAAGAGAAAAGCAAATTCATAATTTTAGTGTGTAATGAAGGGGCAGAAAGAGGAAGATTATTGTTTGAGTAAGAAAGCTGTTGCTGGCATACAGGAAGGAAGGAGGATATAATAGTTGCCTGACCAGGGACCCAGAGATGAATTCTTGCCTAATGCTCTACTGAGGCCAAGAGGCTGTTCCTCAGATTCACTCCAGTAAGATCTCTGAAATCTGCGTCCCTGAGAGCAGATACACCCAGCAACGGAACCCTTTGGAGGACAGCCATCTCATAAGCTTAACATGGCATTTTCGTTTTGTTTGGAGCTATAAAAAATAGGTACGTTTAATTAAATGTAATCAATTGTGTTACACAACATTTGGAACACCCTGAACATGAAAGGCCTCTCCAAGACTGACAGAGTCTGCCAGAGGGTTCAGATGTTCCTGGGAGTGTGGGGTAGAGGTAGGAGAGGCAGTCCAGGGGAAGGAGCCTGCAGCCAAGGTGTGATCCCTGGTTTGGGATTTTTGAAGACCATTTTAACTAGATGTGTAATCATGGGTGATTTTCTCCCACAGCCCTGCTGATCGGAAGGCCAGGGCAGACATGTTTATACCATATCACCCAGCACCTGCTGAATCGGGAATTGGCAGCTAACCTAAGGCTGGCCGTTAACCTTTGAGAGAGCTCTGCCCAAACAAGGACAGAATGGGCAAATACTGTTCTCACTCTGAGAAGCTGAATTGTGATCGTCAGCAAAATGAGGTGATGACAACTTATATGCATGTGTGCATGAACAATGAACATGGACAACAAAGCTGGGGACGGGGCGGGGAGGGGGTAATCAGTGGGGGAAAAAGAAACATTTGTAACAAAAATAAATAAATTAAAAAATAATAAAATTAATAAAATTAAAAAATAAATTTAAAAAAAAATGAGGTGATGAGAAACCAGGGAGCACATGATAAGCAAAAAGGGAGTTTAGATGCAGTTAGGCAAAGCTATAAGTGAGCAAAAACTCTGGGAAAAAGATGAAAGAGTCAATGGTGAGGGATCCAATTGGTCATAGAACATGAGGCAAATATATGCAGAGGAATGAATACGGGCAGAGCTGAGCAGACCTGCAGATGCCCCTCATGGAGGTCTCAGATCCTCAATGACCCTCTAGGTCATTTCCACGAAGCTCCCCTTCCATTGGGTCCTGTTAGATTTCTGTGCAAATTGGTCTCCTTCACTGCCTGAGGTGTAAGACCCCGTTGTCTGAGGGGGTCTGAGTGAGTCCTTGTTTTTTTGCACCCAAAAGAGCTTCTGTAAAACTCAGAATATGCTAATGATGTGCTGCTTAGACTTGAATGTGCATAAAGAATTACCAGGGGCTCTTTTTAAAGTACTAATCTTGAATCCATAGGTCTGAGGTGGGGCCTGGGATTCTGTATTTCTTATAAACTCCCAGGTGATGGCATGCTACTGAATAGCAGGCCAGAGTAGCAAGACACTGATGGGATCCAGCGAGTTATTAAAATCGTTATTCACAGGTAGGGATTGTGTCAGAGTCCCAGCAGGAAACAGATGGTGCACACAAATTAGGATTGTTTTAAGGGGATTTGATGAAAGGATTGTTTACATAGGCCAGGGCAGGGTAAGGAAAACACAAAGTCTAAGGCGAGTCATGGAAGAATCATCACTCCTCACTCTGAGGGGTAGAAGGCAAAGGAGACTAGCAATTTGTTGTTGTTGCTGTTGTTATTTATTTATTTTTATTATATTTTTTTATTTAATTAATTTATTTTTGTTACAGATATTTCTTCTTTTTCCCCCACTGATTCCCCTCTCCCTCTTCCTCCCCACCCTGTCCTCACCTTTGTTGTCCATGTCCATTGTTCATACATACATGAGACTAGCAATTTTTGACCTCCAGTTGTCATATGCAGCCAGCCCAAGGTGACCACATGGGAACCATCCTAGAGAAAGGATTCTGTGACCTCTCTCCTGCTCTAGACTCCTGCCAGTAGTCCCCACTGGCCCCAACCCAAGACAGCAGTCTCCCAGGACATGGAACAGGTAGAGAAGGGTAAGGGGCCAACAGAAGACATTGGGATAGAGATGTGGGGCATAAATAGGTGGAATCTTTGTGGGTGAAGAGGAGAGGCCCTTAGACTACTGTGTACCAGCACTGTTCTAAGGACTAGGCTCAGCAAGAATGGGCAACAAGCAAACAGCATAAATAGCACCCACCGGGATAAATGTTATGGGAAAAGCAGGCTGAGGAGATGGAACAGAGGGGAGCAGGGGCTAGTTTCTGAGGACTGCAGGACCCCCAGTGGGTAGAAGTCTGAAGCAACAGCACCTTAGCATCAGGATGCAAATGAAGAAAGCTGGTCTTCTCCAGAACTATTTCACACCTTTCCTCGCATCTTAAATCTCCAAAACCTCCTGATGACCTTAACTTTCAATTTAATGAGAAAAGAGAAATAATCTAAAGAGACCTTCCCCAAGCTCCTGCAGACACACACACACACACACACACACACACACACACACCCGCCTAGCCTCCTCTGCATCAGGCACTCTGTCTTCCCTCCTGTGGCTGGAGAGGAACTGGCCACACTGCTGCCTAAGGCCAGACCCCCAGCGTGGGCCCTCAGGGATGTCACTGTGCAATTGTCCCCTCTGTCTGCAGCATTATCAGTTTTCTCTTCCTACTGAGATATTCCCAACAGTGAACAATTGCGCTATAATGTCTCCCATCTTAAAATAAAACCTTAACACCCCAACCCCATTTCTCTTTTTCCCTTTACAGTATAACCACGAAGTGTTGTCTGTAAGTTCTCCTTTCCCAGTCTTTTTCTTAAATACTTTATTGAGGTATAATTGGTATTGAAGAAACAGTACATGTTTAAAGTATACAATCTGGTAACTGCTGATATGCATGCATCCATGAAACCATCACTACAATCAATAATGTGCACATCCGTCAGCCCATAAAGTTTTCTTATGTAGTTTTGTAATCCCTGCCTTCCTTCCAGCCCTCCCCCATTTCCCAGACAATCACCCATCCATTTTCTGTCACTGTAGATTAGTTTGCATTTCCTAGAACTTTATATAGGTGGGGTCACATATATGTATTTATTTTTATCTGTCTCCTTGCACTCAGCATTATTATTATCTTGAGGTTCATACATGTTGCAGCATCTATCATCAGTTAATTTCTTTTTATTGCTGAGTAATAATCCATTGTATGGATCATACCAGTTTGTTTATCTATTTACTGTTAACTAGCAGGTGAAAAAGACTTCCAACTTTTGGTAATTACAAATAAAACTGCTATGTGCCTTCCTATACAAGTCTTTGTACTGTCAGGTGTGTTAATTTCTTTTGGTTAAATCCCTGGGAATGGGAATAGCCGACTCATATGGTAGCTATCTGTTTAACGTTTTCAGAAACTGCCAAATGGTCTTTCGGAGTGGCTGTACCATTTCACATTACCAGTAACTATGAGAATTCAGCTTCTCCACACACTCACCAGCACTTGATATGATCAGTCCTTTTATTTTTATTGAGGTATAATGGACATATAACATTAGTTTCAGGTGTACAACATATTTGATATTTGTATATATTGTGAAATGATTACAGTAAATCTCTTTAACATGTCACCACATGTAGTTTATAAGAATGGGATGGTGCTGAGTAACCAGGAAGTGCAGGTTTATTGAGAGAAATACCTGCCGGGCTGCCTCCAAGTAGAGCCTCCAGGTTGTACACCTGAAACTAATGTTATATGTCCATTATACCTCAATAAAAATAAAAGGACTGATCATATCAAGTGCTGGTGAGTGTGTGGAGAAGCTGAAATTCTCATAGTTACTGGTAATGTGAAATGGTACAGCCACTCCGAAAGACCATTTGGCAGTTTCTGAAATGGTACAGACTAAGGGTTTTTAAACTTAGGGCTGGGGTGGGTGGTTGCCCTGGAGGAGTCGCGGTCATCCTTGATTGGTCGGGGTTGGGGTCTTTCCGAGAGTTGTTGTTCTCCTCCAGCGGCTGTTTAGGTTTGCGTGGGGGTTTTAGGATACTGTTTCGTCTGGTGGAAGTGATAAGCTTTGGTTTCCTGGAATAAGGGGCTTGGGGCGAGGCTGGGGGTAAGTAATATGGAAGTTAAAGTTCACAGTAGTGACAACATTTTTTTTCTTGTGTTGAGACTTTTTAAGATCTAGTCTCTTAGCAACTTTCAATTATGCAATACAGTCACTCAAGTCACCATGCTATCTATATATTATACCCCCAAAACTTATTTATTTATTACTGAAATTGGTACTTTTTGACCCTCTTCACCCTGTTCATTTATCTCTCTACCTCCTGCCTCTGGTAACCAGTCTGTTCTCTATCTGTGAGCTCATTTTTGGTTTGTTTGTTTGTCTTTTTAATTTTTGCCATTTTAATGGGTGTATAGTGGTATCTCATTGTGATTTTAATTTGCATTTCCCTAATGGCTAAAGATATTGTGTATCTTTTCATGTGCTTATTTGCCATTCTTGTATCTTCATTGGAGAAGTGCCTGTTCAAATATTTTGCCCATATTTTTAAATTTAATTGCTTGTTTTCTTATTGAAATGTACAAATTCTTCTGATATTCTGCAGAAGACCTTTATCAGATACACAATTGCAAATATTTTCTTCCAATTTGTGGCTAGTCTTTCATTCTCTTGTCTCCTAATTGTCTTTGAAGAGTAAAGCTTTAACTTTGAAGATATTTAATTTATCTTTTATTTTATTGATTTTTCTTATTGGTGTCTAAGAAATGTATGCCTATCACAAGGTCACAAACATTTTCTCCTGTTTTCCTCAGTTTTATAGTTTTAGGTTTTCCATTCAATAATGCTCCATTTTGAATTAATCCTTGTATATAATGCAATTTGAACTTCCTTTGCATAAGGATGTCCAATTCATTCAACATCTTTTTTTTTTTTTTTTTTTTTTTTTTTTTTTTTTATCCTCACCCGAGGACATTTTTCCATTTTTTTTTGTACAGATAGAGTGGGAGGGAGAGAGAGGAAGAGAGAGAGAGGGAAACATCGATGTGAAAGGGACACATCGAGTGGCTGCCACCCACACGACCAACCAGGGCCGGGGACAAACTGCAACCGAGGTACGTGCCCTTAGCGGGAACCGAACCCGGGTCTCTCCAGACCGCAGGCGGACGCTCCAACCGCTGAGCCAAACCGGCCAGGGCCAACATCATTTTTTGAAAAGACTATTCTTTTCTCACTGAATGGCTCTTTCAGATTTTTAAAAACACAGACCACCAAAGTCTTTTGGTATGTTTCACCAAGGCCCTCATGCGTCAGCCTGGCGTGCGGCTGCCTGAGGGTCTCACGCACAGTTCTCTCAGAAGCACTTCTTTTGTCTCCAGGCGTGGCTCCCATCGCTGTGATGGGCCTTTCTCTGAAGCGAGGCTCATACCTCGCACCAGCTCTCTGTTCTCTTTCAGTGTGATCGATGACCCTCATCGTCACGGGGATGGCGGAAGCCTTTCTCCGCTCTTCTCTGCAGAGCCTGCTCAGACACAAACAGTAATCTCAGCCCGTCTGAGTGTTATGCTGTCAGGTTGCAGTGGGAAGGTGGCAGCTGGCAGCTCTCCCATTCTCTTTTAAACCACCCTAATGAAGCTTTTATTCTGTTTCACCACCAAAGAAACTGCTCTCAGATCACCACTGACTTCCATGTGATACCCAAGATCAAGTCTTGGGGGCTCATCCTAATCAGCTTCTCAGTGGAATTTGACTTTCCTGCCTTCTTGAGTCATTTTTTTGCTTAGCATTCAGGGAAACTTTCTCTTCATTCTCTTTGTTCATTACTTCTCTTTAGCCTTTTTTTCCAGGGTGTTCCTCACGTTCTTCTAAACACAAGACCTTCAGGGCTCAACTTTTGGAATTCTCTGTCTGATTTATTCCCTAAGTGATTTCATCCAGTCTCATGGTATAAAATACCATCTGTACATGGATATCTCTCAAAATGTATGTCTGCCATTCAACTAACTTCTCTGCATTCCAGACTCATCTGTCTATACCTGGATGTCTAACAAGTTTCTTAAACTTAATATGTCCCAAGGTGAACTCTTAATGCCCCCCCCCCCAAATATTCCTCTCTTTTTTTCTTTTCTATCTCAGTAAATATTGTATTTGCTCTTCTGGTTTCTCAGGCTAAAAACCTTGGAGACGTTCTTGACTTGCCTCTCTCAAATCTCATCCCACATTCAATCTGTTAGTAAATCCAGTTAGCTCTCTCTCTTTTTTTTTTACATTATTGAATATGTGGTTGTTTATTTATTATTTTTACATTTTTATTTAATTAATTTATTTATTTTTGTTACAGATGTTTCTTCTTTTTCCCCCACTGATTCCCCCGTCCCTGCCCTCCCCACCCTGTCCCCAGGTTTGTAGTCCATGTCCATTGTTCATGCATACATGCATACAAGTTCTGTGGTTTATCCCTCCCCCACCACCCCCTCTTCTGGGGATTGTCAGTCTGTACCCCACTTCCACGTCTCTGGGACTACCCCATTCCTCAGATTGTTATGTTCATTATATTCCACAAATAACTGAGATCATATGATACTTGTTTTTCTCTGTTTGGCTTGTTTCGCTTAGGATGACACTTTCAAGGTCCCTCCATGTCGTCTCAAAGGATAAGAGATCTTCCTTTCTTACAGCTGCATAGTACTCCATTGTGTATATGTACCACAGCTTTTTTTTTGTTTGTTTGTTTGTTTGTTTAATCCTCACCCGAGGACATTTTTTGCATTTTTCTGTTCAGACAGAGCGGGAGGGAGAGAGAGGAAGAGAGAGAGAGAGAAACATCAATGTGAAGGGACACATCGAGTGGTTGCCACCCGCACGACCAACCAGGGCCGGGGACAAACTGCAACCGAGGTACGTGCCCTTAGCGGGAACCGAACCCGGGTCTCTCCGGACCGCAGGCCGACGCTCTAACCGCTGAGCCAAACCGGCCAGGGCTGTACCACAGCTTTTTTATCCATTCATG